GGGGGGGGGGGGGGGTGAGGCCAGGTGGGCCCCGCTGTTGTTGGAGCCTGCCAGGCTTCCCCTGGGTCCTACTGCCCTTGGTTCCTGGGATAGAATGGTCTTGCGGGCCGGATCTGGCCTGTGGGCCATATTTTGCCCACCCCTGTACTAATGCATGACAAAGTGCAGTTAGCTCTGCTAATTACTTCCTCACACTGACAACTCATATTCGTCTTGGAGTTGACAACGACTGAGATCTCTTTCTGCCACTGTGCTGCTGAGAGGGTCATCCCCCAGTCTATAGGCGTGTTGGTGATTCTTTCTCCCTAGGTGCAGCACCTCGCACTTGTTGAACTGTATCCTATTGTTTTCTGCCCACTTTTCTAACCTGTCCACGTACACCTGGATTCCGTTGCTTCCCATCAGTGTGTTTACTTTGCCCCATAGTTTTGTGTCATCTGCAAATTTGGACAGAGTGCTTTCCACGCCCTCATCCAGGTCGCTGAAGAAGATACTGAACAGTACCAACCCAAGGACAGAGCCTTGGGGACCCCACTGCCCACATCTTTACAGGTCAATACCAACCTGTCCACCACCACTGTCTGGGTACAACCCTTAAGCCAATTTACCACCCACATGACTGTGTAATCATCTATGGCACAGCCGTTCATTTTGTTTATGAGAATAGGATGGGATACCATGTCGAATGCATTCCTGAAGTCCAAGTAGATGACATCTACCTTGACTCCTGTGTCTAAGCATTTAGTGACCTGGTCATAGAAAGAACCAAGATTAGCCAGGCAGGATCAACCTGCTATGAACCCATGCTGGTTGCCCTTCAGCATTATATTACCTGCTGGACTCCTACAAATGTGATTCTTGATAATTTTTTAAGGGTTTTCCCAAGGATAGAGGCAAGACTAACTGGTCTATAGTAACCTGAATCCTCCACCTTCCCTTCTTGAAAATAGGGATCATATTGGCCCATTTCCAGTCCTCTGCCACCTCACTTGAACACCACAAGTGCTCACATAGCTGTGCCAGTGGCTCTGCTATGACACTGGCTAATTCTTTCAGCACCCTTGGATGGAGCTCATCTGGTCCTGCTGATTTAAACACATCCAGCCCCTCTTTATTAGGTTGGCGCTGACAGTTGGTAGGCTGGTATGCCTCCTGCTACTGTCAGTGATGCTTTTCAGAGATTTGTCTATATCCGTGTTCAAGAATATAGAAGCAAAAAACTCACTGAGGATCTCTACTTTGTCCCTCTTATGCATCACCAACTGCCCTAGTCTCTCCTGTAGGGGTCCTATGCTGCTCTGCACCTTCCTTTTGCTCCCCATCTACCTGAAGAGCTTTTTGTTGTCCTTAATTTTTGTCCCCAGCCTAAGTTCTAATGTTGCTTTAGTCTTCCTAACTGATTCCGTGTAAGTGCAAGCCAAGAAGGTATACTCCTCCTTGGTAGCTACCCCCTGCTTCCACAGCCTGTATGCCCCTTTTTTGCCCTTAGGCTTTCCTGGATTTCCCTGTTTAGCCAAGAGGGCTTCTTAGCCCCTTTTCTACAGTGGAATTGCCTCTTTCTGCGCCCGAAGGATCGCTTCCTTGAAGGAATGACCACTCTTCCTGGACCCCCATTTTGTTAATGCTCTTGAACTTTAATGCCCCCCTAACTAATCTCCTAAGCACACTGAAGTTAGCCTTTCTGAAGTCTAGCACTTCTGCCCTGCTGGTTACTTTTCCCACCCTTTGCCAGACAGTGAATTCAATCAGTTGATGATCACTATCCCCTACGTTACCTTGTACCTGCAGATCCCCCACCATGTCATCCCCTGTAGCCAGCACCAAGTCCAGCAAGACGTTCCCCTTAGTGGGATCATACACCTCCTGCGTTAGGTGGAGGTCCTGTAAGCAGGTTAAGCACCTATGTGAGTAGTTAGTTCTGGCTGACTGATCCTTCCAGCAGTCAATGGGCAGTGCTACCCTTGCGGCCTTCAACAGGTCTCCAAAACTCATTAAGTGGACCTCCAGCTGAAATAACTGCCCACCCCTGCTTTAAATCGTATGTTCCTAAAACTTCATTCTGCAGTTGGCAACCTTCCTTCTCCAACATCATCCTGGTGCTGACAGTGGCCAGAAATCTTAGCTAGCCCCTTATTTGCTGCCCCTTCATCCACACCCACTGTAAAGTTCTTCCTTAATTTGTGAAATTGATTCTGAAGACAAATGAGCTGCTAGGAGGAATAAAAATCACTTCTTTAAAAGACACGGGGAGAAAACGAAACACTAATGAATAAGTAAAGAGAAAATGGTAAGAATAGTACCTTTAGCTAAATATAGAATGGATGGTTGAAATCCCTTAGAGCCGGAATGTCAAACATACAGTCCACAGGCTGGATCTGGTCTGTAGAGCTATATGATTCAGCCCATGGGTCACTGGACCAACCTCATGCACTGGCCTCCATACCATGCAGGCTGGAGCCAGCACCAAGAGGCTTGCATGCAGCATTAAGGGTCAGTCTGCCCATATGGTGCCCCACTAGACTGGCCCTGCACACTGGTTCCAAAGACGGTTTGGATCAGGCCATGCTGGAACTAGCGCGAAGGGCCAGTCTGGCAGGGCATTACCTGCAGCCCACACTTAGGCCCCCTGTGTCATGTGTGGCACTGGATCAAAGTTGCACACCATGGGCAGTGCACACCCCATGGGCAGTGTGCCATGCATATGGGCTGGACCCAGGCCTCTGGGTGCTACACAGGACAGTCCCAGTCAAGCCTAGCCCAGAGGCCCTCATTCATAGGGTGACCCATTTTAGCCAGGACAGTCCCAGACTTCAGAGACCAGTTGTGGTCAGTTGCTGGGAATTATAATGGGCATCCTGGAAATGCAGGAGCACAGGGCACAATCTGGCTGTGAGTTAGAGCAGCAGGAAGCACCTTGCAGGCAGGAAGGCAGGCACCACTGCCTGCCCAGCATGCAGCCCCACCGCCACTGACTTGTGAGAGCATGGCAGGGGCAAAGGAGGGCTGGATGAATTTAATATCCCTGCCTTAGAGAAACTTGTTAATACTAGTCTTGCAAAACATCCATGAGTTGCCTACTATAGCACATCAGGGTCCCAGGGGCAAGCGTGATGCGCTCTGGTGGCTCCACGACCAGGCCTCACTCTGCCCCTACAGTGCCTTCCTTTCCATCTCACCCACCACAACCTGATGTAATAAGATTAAAAGGGAGACTGCTCAGAGGCCTTCCCATGGGTCCCAGTCTAGCTGAACCCCCACTAGGGATCCCAAGCACCCTACTGGTCTCTCCTGCACTGCTCTCAGGTCCCTCTCTAGGCCTCTCTACTCCCAGGCCCCTCACTGGGCCTTTCTATGACCATGCCGCTGCAAGGTACCTAAAGCCTTAGGGGCCAATTGCATGGCTCCATTCCTCTCCTAACCACGCCCCAAGCCTCACGGGTATTACTGTGATGTTGTTTGCCTACTGGGGCTTCCACCCCTTTCCTCTTAGCTAGGCCTTCTAGCCCAGGCCCACTATGTCAGACCTGGCTTTGAGGCACCAGCTCTGGTCTAGCCCTTTTGGGCACTGGACCCCTGGCCCATATGCAATTCTGTGGCCTCACACTCTGCCTGCTCTGGGCTCAAGCCTTACTTGGGCCTTGAGCCTGCCCCAGGACAGAGTTCAAGCCAATCACATGCCCCATGGGCACTAATAGGACCTCCATATACCACACCTTACAGTCCCTACCCAAACTGCCAGTAAAACTTCAACACAAACACTAAGCCCCTGGGCTATAAACAAAGAGGAGCAGCCCTCTGCCCCTATAAGATGGAAAACCTTCCCTCACCCCTTGTGCAGCATACCTCCCAGCCCCGGGCTTCTTGTGAGCTCCCCGAGAGTCACAGTTCCCACAGGCATCATGGTAGTTGGTCTCCAGTACCTCTCCTGGGCAGGAGCTCCTACCCCTGCAGCTTGCAGGGCTAGGCTAGATTGCCAGCTCAGGCCCTGGGCTTATATGCCTCCCAGGGCCCTGCCCCCTTCTGGCCAACAGACTACCCTGGGCTGCCTGCAGGTGCCTGCTAATTGCCTCATTACCCCATTGCTATGGTGACCTGCAGTTGCTGTGTCCTACCTGGCCTGCAGTGCCCCCTTGCTGGGCTGCTTCTTTCTTAAAGGAACAGAGAGCTCCAGGCCCTCTACCAAGAACTAAATCTTCTGTGCGAGACAATTCAACCCCTTTCTCCTGCATTGTTTTTAAAAATAATATATGTATGGAATAGACCACACTCTTATTCCCTCAATTCATTTTACTAGAATGAACAAACCAAGCTCTTTCAAACCTCAAATATAGCCTCGCTTAGCTAACATAGGCTCTCTATTCCTGGAACATCCTAAATTGCCTCTTCATCCCTTTGTTCTACTGTGGATTCCTTGTTTTTAACCCATACCCACACAGATATGTGTTGTCATACACTTCAAACAGACTCTGCAGGTTTCAACGTCTTTGCTGGTTGCACCTAAGCAAAGATGTATTATAACACTGATAGCCACAAAACGCTCCTTCTCCCTGAGGTTACTGCCCATGTTGCTAAGTAATGCATCAGACGCTGCAGAGACTAGAAAAATAAGTCACATCCAAATTAAACTGTGCAACTACTTACTTTCCTCCTCTGCAAATCAGAGGTAATATATACCTATCAACATCCCAGGGCATTCAGTTGATTAAAGAGTTAAAGGAGGATAACTCATAAAGCAATTAGCAATTCCAGATCCAATGCAGGGGCTGGACAGTGTAGCAAATTAAGCACATAGCCATATACTGAATAAAGAAGATCAATAAGGAACAGCTGCATCCCCTTGAGCATAATGTATCTTGTACATTGAATGAGGTACAAATCCTATGGGGAAAAAATGGTACATGATCCTATAATTAAAGATAATAGTGCACAGAGCCTTGGGTAGAAAAGAAAACCTGACTTCTGGCATTTAACAACCTTGGACTACATTTGCATATAATTTACATATGGATTTTGATGAACCTAAATTAAAATACCACCACCTCTGAAAAAATGCAACAGTTCTTAAAATGTATGGGGAACAATGCACAACAGTTTAGGACTGGAAGAGAAAACTGCTGTATCAAACTGACCCTGCAGTGGAATTTGTATACTGCAGGGATCTCTCATCCTATTTCATTTTTGCTTCCATCCTAGCAACTTCCTCTCACTCCTTCAGCAGATTAATATGTTCAGCTTGCAATTAACAAAAACTAAGAACTTTCTGCCCTACTAAAAATCAAGAGAGGAATGCCTATCCCAGGGATCAGCAACATTTATGGGCAAAGTGGCAAAATCACCCACAATCTCAACTTGTAAGATGTTGGTGTGCCAGGCTGGACAACAGGAGAGCAGCAAGGGGCCCAATTCTTGTTGTGGCAGCACATCCCTGGCCCCTTCCCCACCATCTGCCCCAAAGTGCACATGCCAAACAAAATGCCTTTGCATGCCCTGCTCTGGCACCCATACCAGGGGTTGCCTACTCATTGTCCCTAGAGAAATCCACTGAAAATGTATATCCGTGACATGTTTCTAATTACTATTAAATTCCTCAGTGTGTGCTATGCATACACTTCTGAAGAATTTCCATGCCATATCATTTAAACCAGGATTGTCCAACTGCTGAATGGCTCTGACAGAGGCCATGGACCCCACCTAGACAACCCTGCCACACAGGCCCCCAGATCCGGTGTGTGGGCTGGGGACAGGAAGTGGGAGCCTGAGGAGAGATCAGGACCCAGAGATCTGAGCTGCAACAGTAGCAGGAGCAATGTGGGTAGAGGAACCTGCATGGTAGTTCATGGAGCACTAGTTGAACAGCCCTGATTTAAACAAATTCTGAAAACCCTCCTAGCTATATTCTCCAACACAAACATTTGCAGCAGTACACAAGTCACTGATCTTCTGTTACTTTTATTTTCACAAGAGTCAAAATATTGAAAAAAAGATATAACAATTTGTTGTACATTACTGGATGTGCTAGTTAGACGATTCTAGAACAGTTCCTTGCAAGGCTTTAAGAAAGGATATTAACCATGTACATGAGAAATGGAAAACAGAATATAGAACAGCAGGTAAGAAAAATCAGAACCATGCCTTGAGCAGGGGAAGAAGAAAGGAAAAAAAAATAGCCTCAGAACATGCAAAACCGATACAAAATACAATGAATTTCCATTATTATTAATCTAGCAAGCATAAACTTGCTTATGCAATAGTGAATATATGAGATTATTCTTGCATATAATCAAATCTACTTATAGTGAACTGCCTTAAACTTGAAGCTATTTGGACTTTATCACAGGGAGAAAAAGAAAAAAAGCCATAGAGGACATATGATTATAAGCACATGAACAATTCTGTAGGAAGTTGATTATTCAGACATGAAATTTAAGGCCAATGTAGGCTAGAATACAAGGTGACTTCTTGTGAAGGTCCTTTTGGAAGCCTGGGAACAAGAATTCCATGATCTCATTTCTAAAATGGCCAGTAATTTGGGGATTCTTGGCCAACTGCTCAGATGTATTAAAAGAAGTGAAAAACCATAGGCATTACAACAAAGTATTGGACTGAACAGGTTGGTTTTCTTTCTTTAAGAAAAACAAATGCAGTGGCAAGATAGGCAGGGTTCATGAAGCAAGTACAAGGTTTCTGCATATCTGTAATCCAGGTATCCAGTGGCTTCCACAACTCACCTATCAAGGTACCAATATTAAATCTAGATGCTGAAAGTCTAAAGTAGTGTAAGCATGGAATATGGCTTCTAAGCTATGGCAGTTTTGCCTCAAGAAATATGCATGGTACACCTCTTCTACTGCCAGGTTTTCCGACACCTGAGCTGCAGCACTGACCAACCTGAGCAGGCTTCAAAAACAGCAGTAGCCATGTATGGAGAAGCTTTCTTCAAAACAAAATACAGCCCTCCTTAAAAGGAAAGCATTCCCTTCACAGCCATGTTGTCCCCCGTTCCACTGACTACGCAACCAACAATGGCAGGCGTTTGACAGTTCCAGCCGGCTGTCTCTCTCAGTCTGTTCCAAAGGCTGTTTGCAGACAGAAGCCAGAGAATCTGTGTTCTGGTGTCTGAGCTCTTTCTTATCTTTTCTTATGCCTCACAAAACCACTGGTGTTTCTAATAAACCCAAAATATGCCACGTGACTATGCAAGTTAAGTCATTGATAAGAACAACCAAGTCTTGTGCCTCACAGCAGAAAGCTGATAACCCAGGAGGTGAGAAAACAATTCTTCTCAACTTTCCATGCAGCACCACACAATCCATTGGGCACATTATGAATCTCTGTATGCCCCAGCCATCATGACAGACAGGACATAATTGTGTCTACTCCTGGAAACTTGTACCATCCCTCAGCAATGTACCTGTTTATCAGTAGAAGGATAAGCAGGGCACTAAGGGCACAGGGACATGTGAACAGTTGCATGATGTTGAAAAAAGAAAACAAATCTGCTCAAGCAGTGAGGCTGGATGACTGCCAGCAACAATGGACAAAATGAGGAACAAGTGACAGATTAGGAGGAAGCCTGGCATGCACATGTGGCTTGGGATGGTGGTTACAAACCAAACTGCAAGCTTGAACCCTTGCTGACAGAGTTACGGAACTGGATATTGTAGGCAAACACCAGAGGGAATGAGATCAATATGCAACAAAGGGAGGTAGGAAAAGAGATTTGAAAGGTTGTCAGATTAGTAGAAAGAAGTTGGGATTCAGGCTAAACAGTGCAAGGGAAGCGAAAAAATAGTTCTCAGTAGTTCTAAGAGTGATAGATTTTCTTAATACAATGTCAAGGCCTTATCTGTTCATATAGATAACAACTCCAGGCTGAGTTCTCTAATACTTTGCAGCGTCTTTGTACCATGTAAGCATAGAGAGACTGGAGATAACTGGTAAGAATTCTTCTTGCAGAGAGGAGCTCTCCATCAGCAGAAGGCTGGCAGAGATGGATCTGCTGCCTCCTATAACAACTGCCCACAGTCTAAAGGGAGGGAGAAGCAGATGGGTGGGGCATGGCACAACACAGCTCAGCTCACTGTGCAGATGTTATAACACTGGCAAACATGTAAGCCACAGAGAATTTATCTAACTGCTTTGGGGCCAAGCAGTCAAGGACCAGGGTGCCATAGCCTTCAGCCTCTGCTGCCACTCTCCAAGTTAATGGAGGATCAGGACTTTTATGCTTAATAGCAGGAATAAAGTAGCTGCCACAGATTACTAACAGAGGATTTTAGCCCTTTTTAATCTCGTGTAATGGAGATATTAAACACACACAAAAACATGCAATAATACTAGAGTTCTCTAAATTCCAGCTGTTAAAGATAAAGCCTCTAGCATCAGAAAGAAATCTGTGCCACTCTGCCAAAGTCAAACAGTAAGGATGAAGGAACAGTGCAGAAAGCATGGAGTCAACTGAACATTAGTTTTCATGTATGCTGTCAGCCCTTGAAGCAAGTGTCACCAACACATTTTGAGACATGACGACTTAGAGCCATGGAGACGGACTTCCCATTCTCATCATCTATACATTTGTCCTACCGACAAATTAAAGACAGTTGTTTCCTTAGCTAAAAGTTTGCCTGTCCCCAGTTCTCAGATGCCTTAAGGTAGTGTCCATTCAAGACAGTCACATGATACAGCCCAAGTTTCTCAGGAACCACACCCACTTGGCAGCCACACTGGAGAGACTTGGCATTATGTGAAATGCAAGAGCATGTTTCACAAGTCTGTGTTCAAAATCCCTGGCATACTAACAGGATACAAGTCTGCCTGGGAGATCTTAGGAACCTGAGGTGGAAGGACAGGTCTTGGAAGCGTAGGAAAAGGAGAGCACCTGACAACCATTAGCCTGGAGGTTATATAAAAACAAGAGCGCGCGCGCACACACACACACACACACACACACACACACACACACCCCCACACAACCACACAACAACAA